CAGTTTTTTGTTATCTTGAATATTATTATAGATAGATATAAACTGTAAACAGCAATAATGTTCAGCAAAGTAAGATCTACAAAAAAGTTAATAAAGACCATAGTTGTCAATTGACCCCTTAAGGAGTTATTGCCCTTTAAAGACAATTTTACACAATTTGTTCATCAAGTTTGCTAACATTTAAAAATCTCCTCCTCTGAAACTACTGGGCCAATTACCTTTAAACTTTAACTAAATGTTCCTTATGGTATCTTGTTTATAATATATATCCGAAGTTTTGATCCATTGACAAACATGGCCGCCATGGCTAAAAATAGAACATAAGGGTCAAATGCAGTTTTTGGCTTATATCTCAAAAACTAAAGCTTTTAGAGCAAATCTGACATGGTGTAAAATTGATCAATTGGTCAAGATCTATCGGCCCTGAAATTATCAGACGAATCGAACAACCCATTGTTGGGTTTCTGCCACCAAATTGGTAGTTTTAACAAAATTTTGCAGTTTTTTGTTATTATCTTGAATATTATTATAGATAGATATAAACTGTAAGCTGCAATAATGTTCAGCAAAGTAAGATCTACAAAAAAGTTGATCTGACCAAAATTGTCAATTGACCCCTTAAGGAGTTATTGCCCTTTAAAGACAATTTTACACAATTTGTTTATCAAGTTTGCTAACATTTAAAAATCTTCTCCTCTGAAATAGAGGTGAGCGATTCCGGCTCTTGAGAGCCTCTTGTTTATATAGATTAGACCGTTGGTTTTCCTGTTTGAATGGTTTTACACTAGTAATTTTTGGGGCCCTTTATAGCTTACTGTTCGGTGTGAGCCAAGGCTCCGTGTTGAAGACCGTACTTTGACCTATATTGGTTTACTTTTATAAATTTTGACTTGGATGGAGAGTTGTCTCATTGGCACTCATACCACATCTTCTTATATCTAATTAAAGAGAACGTACATAATGGACCCATCTTAACCCTCTGTACAATACTGTTCATATAATTGCGATAGGAACTGTTCCTTCTCTTTATCTTGTGTAGAATGATGTGCACATTCATCTATACTTCTTATTTTAATATATGTTGCTGTTTGCCATTAGTTGATATAGAATTTATGCTATTCCTGGTCTTTCAATATTCTGTCTATCCTTTAACGAAAGGGATCTCATGTTACATTATTTTCTCCTCTATTTGTTGCAACAGCATTTATTTTTATTATTAACCAAAATGTAAATGCAAACAACTTAAACATTAAGTCGGCTTAAATTACTGTTCGTTGTTCTAGTATATATATAGTAAGTATTATTTAACCTAGTAGGCTTTTTTGTGAAAATGGGCTATCGAAAATAAAGGTGGACGGCTTAATCCTGTTCTTAAATGGTCTAAAATATGTCCCCAATTAGTCAAAAAATTTTCCCTAAAATGTCCTGCGCCCCTTGTGCCATACCTTAAACAAAATATATTAAAAACAATTGGAACATTTTAGTGATGCTTTAAAATATAAAATATGCTTTTTATTAACTTTGTTACACATCATACAGTAATAATAGTATGTATAAAAAGATCTGAAGGCCATTCATTAACTCTTTCTTCAGTTTATTGGCATAAAGTTAAAATTTTGAAAATGTTTTGGAGATAGTCTAGATGAAAATATTTAGCAATAATTTTTTTCCTCATCCTGATATTAAGCTAACCAGTCCCAAGGGGTAAAATTACCAGCTAATAAAAACCATATTGTCCTCTTTTCTTAACTTAATCACGGCCTCAGTGGTCTCGTGGTAGCATGTTCGCCTCAAGTGTGGGAGGTCTTCAAAGACTTTAAAATTGGTATTTGCTGCTTCTCCTCTAAGCACGCAGCAATAAGGAGTAAGAGCAAAGACTGGTCAGCTTGGAGTCAGAATGATATGTCCAGGTAAGGTTATATGTCTTCCTGCGGACTGTTACTTTGTGAACTAGCACGTTAAAAATCCTGCTCAGCGTGTCGGTGTAATACAAAGCAGGGTTTATATTCATATTACATCATGATTATAATAATAAGAAGATGTGGTATGATTGCCAATGAGACAACATTTCACAAGAGACCAAATGATACAGAAATTGACAACTATAGGTCACGTTCATTAAATAATTACATTAGATGTATGTTTCATTATAATACTTACTGTGGATTCATTATTATTCGTTGCGTACCAATTTTCGTGGGTTTCGTGGGTACAGGTGAACCACGAATTCAAATGTTCAACGAATTACAAAGTTTCTAAAGGCTTTGTATGCAGAAACCACAAAACCACGAAATCAAATATCCACGAAAATGCAAGTTTTCCTCAATCAACGAAAATTGGTACCCACGAAAATAAATGAATCCACAGTATTTTGATTGGCTAACATCAATCTCCCATCATTCTGAAATTAATCTTCATTTCAAAATTAAATGTAACATTCATGATGACATGAGCTTCCACAGTAAAGTGCACAGGTAAATAAAAGAAAAACTTGATAGAAATCATGTTTTCATGATCATAGCACATCATACAAAATTTATTTTGGTCAACGCTTTTACACCCCAATAAAATTACAAAAAGAAGCATTCAATTCTTAAGTAAAACCCATTCCACATAGTCAGCTATAAAAGGCCCCAAAATGACAAATGCAAACAAGGAAAACAAGGAAAACTAACAGCCTAATTTATGTGCAACGAAAAACAAATATGATATAGAGCAACAAAGGACAACCACTAAATTACAGGCCCCTGATTTGGGACAGGCACATACAGAATGTGGTGGGGTCAAAGTAGTTTGAAGGCACGCCAACCCTCCCCTAACTGGGACAGTGGTATAAAAGTACAACTAAAAAACATGTTCTCGTTCTGAATACACATATCAGTTTGCCACTGGATATTAAGCAGCCATTCATCATCATCATCTAAACTAATTTTGGTATTGGTCAAATTTGGGAATGATATTTGATTTTGTTTTGATGAAAGGCATGGTTGCAGAGAATGTTTCTTTGGTCAAGATTTTTATGGCCCCGCAACAAAATTGTTGGACGATATAGTTTTACCCTTATCCCTCATTCCGGAATGTACAGCTATACAGACTTTTTTTTTACATGTCTACACATTTTGAGCTGATTTTTAGTATGTGAGTCTACTATGATGAGCTACAGATTGAGTTTACATTTAGTTCCGCTCTGCTGATTTTTGACAAAATGACAGGCTTTAGACTTAAAATTTCATGAAAATAGCAGTTATACACACTTTTTTCTAAATATCTTCACATCTTGAGCTGATATTTTAGTATTTGAGTCTACTATGATGGGTTATAGATCAAGTTTATGTTTGGTTCTGCTCCTCTGATTTTTGCCTAAATTACTGGCTTTGGACTTTGAAAATTTCATGAAAATAGCAGTTATATATATATATATCAAATATTACATGTATATTTAGCTAATTTTTGGTATGTGAGTCTTCTATGATGAATTACAGATGAGGTTCATGTTTGGTTCCACTTAGCTGATTTTTGTTGAAATTACGGTCTTTGGACTTTTGAAAATTTTGAAAAAATAACAGACTTTTTGTCGCCTTGACGGAGTCAAAAAGCGAGACATAGGTATGCTGTTGTCGGCGTCGGCGGCGGCGTCAACAATGTATAAGTTTGTGATTAGGTCTAGTTCATGGTGAACCACTAGTGGTAGGTCAATGGTATTTGGTATGCAGTTGTATTAGCATTGGCACATCTCATTACCATGGAGATTATTTGGCCCCACCCCCTCAGTCAAGGTCTATTGATTTTGAAACTTTGCTTAGTTTACATGTATTAGTTTATGATTAGGTCAGTTTATGGGGAACCACTAGTGGTAGGTCAATGATATTTGGTATGCAGTTGTATTAGCATTGGCACATCTCATTACCATGGAGATTATTTGGCCCCACCCCCTCAGTCAAGGTCTATTGACTTTGAAACTTTGCTTAGTTTACATGTATTAGTTTGTGATTAGGTCAGTTTAAGGGGAACCATTAGTGGTAGGTCAATGATAATTGGAATGCAGTTGTAGATGCATTAGCACATCTTATTTCCATGGAGAAGATTTGGTCCTTACTTCTCAGTCATGGTCTATTGACTTTGAAACTTTTGCTTAGTTTACATGTATTAGTTTGTGATTAGGTCAGTTCAAGATGAACCACTAATGTTAAGTCAATGATATTGGGTATGCAAATGTATTGGCATTTGCAAGTTTTGTTTCCATGGAGATTATATAACCCCACCCCTAATTATGGTTCATTGACTTTGAAACTTTTACATAGTTTACAAGTTATAATGTTTGTGTTTAGGTTTGTTTAAAGGGAACGACTTATGAAAAGTCAATAGTATTTGGTTTGCAGTTGCATTATCTTTGGCACATCTCATTTCCATGGAGATTGTCATGGTTCATTGACTTTGAATATTTGTATAACTTACATGTTAAAGTATTGTAATTTTAATTTCAACATTTGCATTATCAAAATAACAAAAAGGCGAGACATATCTCTGTGTAATAACAGTTTATTATTATACACCTTCAATTACTGAGCTGATATTTAGTATATGAGTCTTCTATGATGAGTTACAGATCTAGTTTTTTGTTTGGTTTCGCACCACTGATTTTTGCTGAAAAAACACTTCCATTCTCAAATTTCAACTTCTAAAAATGGCTTCAAAGATTTTTTTTGCGAGCGGGGCCATTCATGTTGTTCCAGCACATTTAGTTCAGTTGGCTTTGTTTTTTCTCTTGATGAACAATAATTTTCAACTTAGACATGTTAGATAAAAGGAAAATAACATACAACTGTTCATGACATACAGGAAGACAATTTATTTGTTTGAATTTTCACTAATATTTTCTAAAGTTTAATTTAGATTCACACAAGTTAAAAGTTTGGAATGGAATCATCTTTTGATTTAGAAGTGTGTTGCTATTGTTAGACATAGTACAAACAAACTATTTTCTCTGTTTTCTTTTTCAGGTTACTATATTAACATGTACAAATGGATACGACAGAAAGTGTCCACATTCATCACAGTGGAATTTCACTTCCAGATCTTATGAATGTTCAGACCAAAAAATTTATATATGCTTATTTGATGCAATAAAATCGTATGCTTCAAAAGCTGTATTTACAGCAAGTTGCGGCCCTGAAGACTTATCAAGAGAAGGTAAGATACAAATTAGTGCTATGATAGAGACTGATAATAATGTAATTTTTACATATCCCAACCATGGTGTAAAATGTGTGACAATTATTCTGTGTCTCTATCATACTATCAATTGGCCTTATTTATTTAAATTAGGGCCCTGCATTGAGGATGCCACAGCCCTATTGTTTCCACTTTGTTTGTCTGTCTGTCAAAAATTTTTGTAAGGGCAAATCTTCAAAAGTATAGTTAGAGGAGGCCAATGCAATTTGCACAGTTGTTCCTAATATGTAGATATGCATGTTATATTTTGCTAAAATTCAGGATTACTTATTATAGGATTTTAAAACAAAAAGACAAGTTGTAATTAGTTATTTCAAAGGAACTGACAAATTAGAAAAAATGGTTTAACTTCCTTTTTGTTATAAAATCACTAATTTTGAAAAGCATTTTCTTGTGGTAGGATGTTTTAAAAAATTGATTTATAATATGCATGTTTCCTCTAGTCAAAATTAGATGTGCATATTATATTATAATAAATTCTGCTCATTAGAATTGGAAAATACTTTTTTTTTGTTGAAAAAAATCTAAAATTTTTAGAAATGTCTTCTTTTAATAGAATTTTAACAAAAAACTGATATAAAGGTGTAATAGAATTATAAGAAAAACTGATATATAGGTGTATTAATTTATTTCAAAGTGAGTGACTTCCAAATTAAATTGATGCACTCAAGTCTGAATTTCCTTTTTGGCTCACATGGTCCATACATTGTAAATGCTTTTGTCATTAGTTTGCATCCATGGTCATTGGTCCATTTGGTAGCGGTTGGGGCATTAAGTTTTACCCTTGTCCGTCTGTACGTACGTACGTACGTACGTAGGTCCCAAAATTAGTTTCCGTTCTCTAACTTGAGTTTGCCTCAACCAAATGTTATGACACTTATACACAATGCTTATTACCACAAAACACAGATCAAGTTTGAATTTTGGTGGCATTAACCGTTCTAGAGTTATGCCCCCTTATAAATGGAAAATTTGCAAAATTTTTGTTTTCTTCTAAATATCAAGTAATTTTTGTCGAGCCTGCGACTTTTGTCGCAGAAAGCTCGACATAGGGATAGTGATCCGGCGGCGGCGGCCGCGGCGTTAGCTAACTTCTTAAAAGCTTTATATTTTAGAAGATGGAAGACCTGGATGCTTCATACTTTGTATATGGATGCCTTATGTTACGAAGTTTCCGTCAGTCACATGTCCAATGTCCTTGACCTCATTTTCATGGTTCAGTGACTACTTGAAAAAAAAGTTCAGATTTTTTGTAATGTTAAATTCTCTCTTATTATAAGTAATAGGATAACTATATTTGGTATGTGCGTACCTTGCAAGGTCCTCATGCCCGTCAGACAGTTTTCACTTGACCTCGACCTCATTTCATGGATCAGTGAACAAGGTTAAGTTTTGGTGGTCAAGTCCATATCTCAGATACTATAAGCAATAGGTCTAGTATATTCGGTGTATGGAAGGACTGTAAGGTGTACATGTCCAACTGGCAGGTGTCATCTGACCTTGACCTCATTTTCATGGTTCAGTGGTTATAGTTAAGTTTTTGTGTTTTGGTCTGTTTTTCTTATACTGTATGCAATAGGTCTACTATATTTGGTGTATGGAATGATTGTAAGGTGTACATGTCTAGCTGGCAGGTGTCATCTGACCTTGACCTCATTTTCATGGTTCAGTGGTCAAAGTTAAGTTTTTGAGTTTTGGTCTTTTTTTCTAATACTGCATGCAATAGGTCAGCTATATTTGGTGTATGGAATGATTGTAAGGTGTACATGTCTAGCTGGCAGGTGTCATCTTACCTTGACCTCATTTTCATGGTTCAGTGGTCAAAGTTAAGTTGACTTGGTTAATGTTAAGTTTATGTGACAGTTGTAATAAAGCTTTATATTTAGGACTATCAACATAATATCAATGATTAGTAAAGAAGGCGAGACATTTCAGCGTGTGCACTCTTGTTAAAATTGGAGTTATCTTCCTTTGTCCATGATAATAGTTGAATCAACTACAATCAATGCTTTATACAATGCAATGTTTAATTTTGACTTCCACAGATCAAGTTGAATTTGGGTAGTGTCACTTAAACCATTATTGAGTTATGCCCTTTTACAAATCGAAAGATTGCAAAATTTTTAGTTTCTATTCTGTAACTTAAGTTTGCCCCAACCAAACATTATGAAACCTATACACAATATTCATTACAACAAAACTATCATCAAGTACAAATTTTTTGTTTCCGTTTTCTAACTTTAGTTTGCCTCAACCAAATGTTATAAAACTTGTACGCAACCGTTCTAGAGTTATGCCTGTTTACAAATAGAAAAATTGCTGAGTTTCTGTTCTCTACTTAAGTTAGCCTCAACCAAATGTTATGAGACTTACACGCAATGCTTATTACCACAAAACTCAGATCAAGTTCAAATTTGGGTAGCGTCACTTTTACCGTTCTTCAGTTATGTCCCTTTATAACTATATGATATGCAAGCAGGGGCATCATCTATCCACATTTATTTAGAACATAAATTAATCATATGAAAATGTTTTGTCGTAAGAAATATATATATAAGTAAAAAATCATTAATATCTATGCACACGTACAGAAAAATTGTGTTCACGCATGCAGAAGAATATCTCAAGAACGTTTTGCGGGAAAATATGAATGCCTACTCAAATCCAATCAATTAGAAATATCTAATTATTACAGAAGAGTGTCCACCAGGCACTTGCACTGCACTATTATTAGAATAGTAGAATAGAACAATATATAAATGGCTGAAAATTATATATACATGTAACTGTCATGACTGTTATATACAAATATTAATATAATATATAACAACAAACGAGAGTATACTGATTTGTATCACTACATTATACATTGTAATAGTTATAACAGTGAGGTAGAATTCCTTGTCATGTCATTTATTCATCATCCATGCACAAACTTGTCTCAGAAAAAAAATATATCTCTGTACATTAACCTCACTTTCAGGTATAGAGATGTGATTTTTTTTTCTGAGACAAGTGCTTGTGACCATCCACAAGAACTTGCGGTCATCCGATGTTAAGTACTTCAGTACTTTGATTGAGAATAAGGGTTGTCCTCTTTGAAACATGATTATCATTGTTGTCTCGCTTTGACGGAGTCAAAAAGCGAGACATAGGTATGCTGTTTCCGGCGTCGTTGGCGGCGGCGTCAACAATGTATTAGTTTGTGATTAGGTCTAGTTCATGGTGAACCACTAGTGGTAGGTCAATGATATTTGGTATGCAGTTGTATTAGCATAGGCACATCTCAATTCCATGGAGATTATTTGGCCCCATCCCCTCAGTCAAGGTCTATTGACTTTAAAACTTTGCTTAGTTTACATGTACAATGTATTAGTTTGTGATTAAGTCAGTTTATGAGGAACCACTAGTGGTATGTCAATGATATTTGGTATGCATTTGAATTAGCATTGGCACATCTCATTACCTTGGAGATTATTTAGCCCCGCCCTCTCAGTAAGGTCTATTGACTTTGAAACTTTGCTTAGTTTACATGTATTAGTTTGTGATTAGGTCAGTTTATGGGGAACCACTAGTGGTAGGTCAATGATATTTGGTATGCAGTTGTATAAGCATTGGCATATCTCATTTCCATGGAGATTTTTTGGCCCTGCCCCCTCATTCATGGTCTATTGACTTTGAAACCTTTGCTTAGTTTTCATGTATTAGTTTGAGGGGCCTCGGTGGTCGAGTGGTCTAAGTAGTTGCTACTGTAATCACTAGCCAGTCAACACTGAGGTTGTGAGTTCGAACCCCGCTCGTGCGGTTGCACTCGACTCCAATCTTAATTGACTAGGATTGTCAGTTTTCCTATCGAAGGTCGGTGGTTTTCCCCGGGCACTCCGGCTTCCTCCACCAATAAAAACTGGCCGCAACCATGAAATAGCCCATAAGCGGTGCTTAAAAGTGGCGTTAAAACACCAAAAATCAAATCAAATCATGTATTAGTTTGTGATTAGGTCAGTTTAAGGGGAACTGTTAGTGGTAGGTCAATGATACTTGGTATGCAGTTGTATAAACATTAGCACATCTCATTTCCATGGAGAATATTTGGTCCTTACCCCTCAGTCATGGTCTATTGACTTTGAAACTTTTGCTTAGTTTACATGTATTAGATAGTGATTAGGTCAGTTTAACATGAACCACTTATGTTAAGTCAATGATATTCGGTATGCAAATGTATTGGCATTTGCAAGTTTTGTTTCCATGGAGATTATATAACCCCACCCCTAATTATGGTTCATTGACTTTGAAACTTTTACATAGTTTACAAGTTAATGTTTGTGTTTAGGTTTGTTTAAAGGGAACGACTTATGAAAAGTCAATAGTATTTGGTTTGCAGTTGCATTATCTTTGGCACATCTCATTTCCATGGAGATTGTTTAGCCCTGTACATTCAGTCATGGTTCATTGTCTTTGAATATTTGCATAACTTGCATGTTAAAGTGTTGCTATTTTAATTTCAACATTTGCATTATCAAAATAACAAATAGGCAAGACATATCTCTGTGTTAACAGTTTATTACTAAAAATAGATTACTGGACAAAACATTCAATAAAAAATTCTGAAAACTCATGTCTGAAATCTTTTCTAAATAATATGAAAATTCATGATCCTCTTTTGTATTGAAAGTTGACCACCATATCTACTATCATTACAAAAAATATAGAATGGACAGAAAGTTGTAGAAAAGATTCTGAAACATGATCAGATTGCTACCAAACGTTGGATACATAAAAAAAAAAAAAAAAAAAATTGTACAATAATTTCAGAAGGCCTACATTCATGACATTAAATCATTTAAAATTTGGAAATGATGTAAGAGGCTACTAAGCATTTTAAATCCAGTTCCAGTTTGATTACACTTTTGTGTTTTGAGAGTTATATCTCTTGATATAAAAAGTGGAAACTTTTAAACAATTAGGAGCACCTGAGATCACCCCCAGTTTTTGGTGGGGTTCGTGTTGCTGTTGTACCCCAATTTGTGACATTTTTACCTATTGTGTCTGTTTATTTTGTTCACACATTGTTGTCAATGTAATGGAATTTGATGCGACTGTCATACAAGTGAGAGGTTTAGCTAGCTTTAAAACCAGGTTTAATCCACCATTTTCTACATAAGAAAATGCCTGTACCAAGTCAGGAATATGACAGTTGTTATCCATTCGTTTGATGTGTTTGAGCTTTTTATTTTGCCATTTGATTGGGGACTTTCCTTTTTGAATTTTCCTCGGAGTTCAGTATTTTTGTGATTTTACTTTTTAGTGTAAGTTTATACCACAATAATGTTATTTAACCTATAAAAAATGTCCTGATCTGAAACCAAATCTAATGTTATTTACTCAATTTCCTGATGTAAGCATTTGGCATTTGTCACACTGTCATCTGTTTTTTTCTAGGTTTCAGATATATAGTAACACCAGATTTGCACCAAGTTCGATGTACTGCAAGTCGATACCAGCCATTCACTTTTACAACTAATGGAAATAGTCAGTGTGTATTAAGTAAATCGTTATGCAATGCTAGAGGACAGATTTTAGCTAATAATGGAATTTCCAGTACAGATAGAAGCTGTAGATGTGATTACACACAGAATTATGATTATGTTATACCACCAAAGGACCCTTGCTCCTGTAAACCAGCAGAGGAAGACTGTAGTTGCTACGTCAGAAAATGTGATGATGACAAAGAGATGATAGCAGGTAAATATCAGTGTAGTGTATGGATACATACAGAATTGGCATTGTTAATTAATTTCAAAATGTTATTAGCATTTTCTCTCATATTTAAATTTGGAGATAGAAATACCTGTACTCTTATTCTGTGTTTGATTTTGAAATGTCAATGATGGAAGAGTTGTTGAATTCTTTTGTCTATGCATCTGACTATATCTCAAGTTAAGCTTGATTAATCAAAACCTATAAAAGAAATGAATAAAAGGAGGTGTGGGGTATACGATATTGAGACAGCAATCTAAATTATCAAATAAAACCACCACTGACAAATTAAGTTCCTGACTTGAGACATGGTGATGCATATTAGTATGTTGGAGGGTTAAACTATTTTTAGTTCTAAAATATATATTCCTACCTATTGCTATCACTTGGTGTTAGTCATTTGTCTTCTGCCATAACACAATTTTGAAAAATCTTCTCCTCTGATACAACTGGCATGATTGGACCAATTTCTGCAAAACTTGGACTGAATGATCCTTAGGGTATCTTGTAAAATGTTTGTTTTTTGTTTCTGCAAATCAACAATTATGACTGCAATTGTGTTTTTATACCCCCTGCAAACAAAGTTTTGGGAATCAAAATGTCTGTCTGTCCATTTGTCCTACTTCATGTTTGGTGTATAAATTTTGTACCCTAAGACTTAGATTGACCAAACTTGATATACAGTTGCATCATGGACTTGGGGTGTGTCATATACCAAAGGCAGGTCACTCTGACACTGACCTATGACCTTTGATCCCTATAATAGTAAAACTCTGTACAATGCGTGTCCTGCTGTTAACTTTTGTGCAGAAAATCCTAGGATAACCAAACTAAATACTTTTTATAGCTGACTATATGGTATTGGTTTTTCTCATTGTTGAAGGCCTTATGGTTGACTATAATTGCTAACATCCACTTTATTTGAACTATGGTGAACAGTTGTCTCATTGACAATCATACCTCATCTCCTTATTTTGATATTAGTATGTAGTTGAATTATGGGCTGGGAATATGTCACAAACTTAAGTCAGGTCACTTTGACCTTGACTTTGACCTTTGACCAATCTGATCATTAAACCTTATCCAATTTGTGTCCGACTCAAAACTTTCACACTTTAAAGCTTGGGGAATCACAATGTCCGTCTGTCCTACTTCATGTTTGGTGTATTAATTTTATACCCTAAGACTTAGATTATCAAAACTTGGTATACAGTTGCATCATGGGCTTGGGGTATGTCATATACCAAAGTCACATCACTCTGACCTTGACTTTGACTTTTGACCCCTATGATAGTAAAATCTCATCCAATTTGTGCCTGGCTAATATCTTTTTTACAGTAAAACTCAGGTTAACCAAACTTGGTATGTAGTTGCATCATGGGCTTGGGGTGAATCAAATATCAATTTCAGGTCACTCTCAACTTTGATCCCTATGATAGTAAAACCTTGTCCAATTTGTGTCTTGGACATAACTCTTGTACCATAGAACTTGGGTTGACCAAACTTAGTATGCTGATACATCATGGGATTCTGGGTTGTCATACATCAAAGTTTTGTCACTCTGACCTTGAATTTGACCTTTGACCAATATGATACCGTATAGCGGGTTATTTTCACGATTTGGGGGCAACAAAATATACGAAAAAATTTTGGCAGTTTTTATTTTGGTGGATTCTTAAATCCCAATTAAATATTTTGGTGGATACTGAAATTGTTGCAGTTAAAAAGTTGTAAAACTTGACAAACAAGTGTCTATTGTTATGGTTGATTAATTATTTTTTTACCGAAATGACCTCTTATTTATTGATTAGTTTCTGATACAGTTAATCATTAGAATATCGCTAACTTAGATAATTATTTGTTACAGGTATTCAAACGTCTTGTAAATTTTACGATTGATTAGATTTGACCGGACCTTTGATGTACTTACTAATTAGGTTACAAAATTATCATGAGTGTTTACAACTCTTATATAGTTTGACACTAATTAATATGGAGTAATTACCTGATAAGAGTACCTTACACTCTTATTCTAATTGACACTTATTAATAAGGGTATACACACCTGACAGTCATTTTATAAAATACATTTATGAACATTGCCCTTTGGCATTTATCTTGTTAAAACTAACATATACCGTTATTGACCTGCCAACAGGGAAAAATAGATGGTTTACAAAATCCTTTAACCATGTTAACTTCGAAACTACCAAACGTATGCATAAATTTTCGCGGAATTTATTTTCGCGATTTTCGTTTATCCGCCAAAATAAGCGAAAATAAACACCCTGCGAAAATAACCCGCTATACGGTTGTTAAACATTGTATGATTCTTGTTTGTTGCTTAACTTTAGTACTGTAGCACTTAGATTGACAAAACTTTGTATGCAGAAGCATCATACTGACCTTGATATTTAATTTTTATACAACCACAAAACATTTTGCGGTCGTATATTGGTATCATGTCGTCGTCAGCCTCGTCCAAAGACATTTGGTTTCCGGACAATAACTTTAGTAAATGTAAATAGAAATCTATGAAATTTAAACACAAGGTTTATAACCACAGAAGGAAGGTTGGGATTTATTTTTGGGGTTATAGTCTAAACAGTTTAGGAATTAGGGGCCAAAAAGGGGCCCAAATAAGCATTTTTCTAGTTTCCAGACAATAACTTGTGGAACGGTGTATGGATCTCTCTGAAATTATACCACAAGTTTCCATACCACAAAAGGATGGTTAGGATTGGCTTTGGGGGGGGGGGGGGGGGGGGTATGGCTCAAAAGTTTATGAATTAGGGGCAAAAAAGGGGGAAAAACAAGGGTTTCCTGGTTAAAGGACAATTAGAAAAAGTATAATGTTAAGTTTGGATTACCTCCCTTACACTGCTTTTAAATTATGTTTAAAGGAATGTTGTATTGTCTTGAGGTGACTAGCAAACTCCATTGGAAATTTGAATTGAGATTATGACCATATCTTGAGGGAAAGAATTTTTTTTTTTGGAAAAATTGGGGGGAGGTGAAAAAGAAATTGGGGAAGGGGGGGGGGGGATTCAAAAAGAAATTGTGAGGGGGGGGACAATTTTTTGACAATTCGCAACAGCATAGTGTATTGCACAAAAGCAAAAAATGGAATATAAATTCAAATCATATAATTAATTCTAAGTTCTTTGACTACAGTTATTCTGTGTTAGAAACCTATTATGTGTCAAATATTTTTAAATTACAATCCAAATTCAGACCTGTACCATTTTTGTCCCAACTGTTCAGGGTTGGACCTCTGCGGTCATATCCAGCTGCGCTCGGCGGAGCAATTTATTGAATTTACAGTACTTATTCAAACCTTTGTTCCTGGGTCAGTATAATTCTTTCAAATTGACTTAACAGTAACCATGTATCGATCTAACAAAGTGGCAGTGATTATATAAAAAGAACGGCTGAAAACCAAAAGTGTATGCAACAATACTCAATTTTACAGCAGCAACTGAAATTCAAGTATGAGTTATTAGTCCAGATATCCCGACAGCTCTAGGTGTTTTTGCTTACAACCATGACAACTAACATGACAACCATGGCTAGAAAAAATAGAACACTAGGGTAAAATGCAGAACAGTAAATTAATATATTTTTTGTATTTTTTTTTTATTTTTCAAGACAAATCATGTGAGATTAAATAAAACAGTATTAGAAACAAATTATAGAAGTTAAATATCACGGATTGATCAAGTTATATGAATATAAGAAAATAAATTACGATTGATTTGATTAATTAAATGCTGTTTCTAACAATTGCCACTTCTGATCTATTTTAACTCTTTATACAGAGGTTAAGAAACACAGGGTTATTTTAGATATTCTGTCCCACCTTATTTTGTGGGCAATATGTTCTTACATGTACATTTGTATATTTCATGATGTATAATTTTTTTTAAAAAGCATCAAAATATCATTTACTGTTTTCCTGTTATCAAAATCCTCAAATTACTTCTTTTGCACTAAAAGGCAAGAAAATGTCTTAATTTCTAATCCAATCTATCATGGATAGCTAGAAATAAAAGTCATCCAAATCTTAAATTTGAACTTTAAAATTTCCCCCCCACTAATTACGAGAAGATCAATAAGTTCAATACTTCATCATCTTTCAGAAATAATTTATTAAAACTTTTTACTGGGTTTTAGTTATTTTAGCACACCTGGCTCAAAGGGCCAAGTGAGTTTTTCCCATCAGGCATCCCACGTTGTTGTTGTTAACTTTTACAAAAATCTTCTCTGAAATTACTGGGCCAAATTCAACCAATCTTTGCCTCAACAATCATCAGGGCATCCAGTTTAAAAATGTGTCCCATGACACAGCAAAAATTACCAGCAAGGCAAGATCTACAAATAAGTGAACATGGTCAAAATTGTCGGATGACTCCTTATTGAAGTGATCGCTCTTAAATGACAATTTTTTTTATTTTTGCCTAATATCTTAAAAACTATAATAGATAGATAGATACAAGCAAAAAATGACAAACACGACTAGATAGATCTACAAAATAAGTTAACATAGCTATTATCATCAGTCAACTCATTTGGAGTTCTTGCTCTTTAATGACGATTTTTACTAATATTTTATGTTGTCATGGTTGTTGCCTTTTAACTTGAAAAATACAAAAAGATGGATAGACACTTTCAATAGCAAAAATGATCAGCAAGACAAGATCTGCAAATAAGTCAAATTTTGCAGAAAGCAGTAAGCTCCCTTCCTATTTTTATAAATTTCAGATTTTACTGTTCTGAGTTATGGGATTTTATTTATAAAAGATGGGTGATTTATGAGTTTTCAGACTATAACTCAAAAATGCTTTGAACAATTTTCTTAAAACTTAGGTAAATTGTTTTATATGTATTGACATAAGTTCCCTTTCGATTCTAAAAATTTCTGATTTTACCTTTTGGGACTTTGTTCTTAAAAAGTGGGGATTTCAAGTTTTCGGACAAAAACTCAA